CTGACGAGGTCGGGCGGGCGCAGCGGGCCGGCGATGGAGGACGACCGCTGGCGCGGGAGGCGCAGGTGGAGGTCGGCGGGCGGGTCGTGCGTGGAGGGCACCGTCAACAGCGACGACCTCCGCCGGAGGCCCCGCTGGTCCGCCCACACGTCGTAGCGGAAGTGGCGGCCGCCCACGCTGCGCGGGGACACGGGCGAGGGCGTGGAGCGCGCGTTGGGCGAGGGCGGCTCGCGGCACAGGGGCGAGGTGGGCGTGCGGCTCATAGGCGACGTGGGCGTCCTGGAGAGCGGCGGCGGGCGTCCGGGGCAGCGGCGAGGTGGGCGTGCGGCGGAGGGGTGAGGCGGGCGGCGGCCGCCCCTGCGAGTAGCGCTGGCGCGAGTGCGAGCGCGGCGCGGCGGCAGCGTGGGGCTCGGCGAGGGCGCGGCCGAAGGGCGCCGCCGCGGCACAGATCGAGCTCGTCGTCGGGCGTCACCGTCAGGCGCAGCGTGACGACGCTGTGGCGCCGAGGGCGGCACGAGGCCATCATGGAGCCGGGGGGAGGGGGGAGAAGGGGCTTTGGTTGCAGGGGTTGGGGAGGGGAAGGAAGGGGCTGGGGGAGGGAGGGAGGGGCAGAGACTCGAAGGCGGCTCAAGGGAAGGAGGGGGTCCTCAGCAGGGCATGTAGCCTCAGGGAGTCCTTGGGCGAGGGCGTCCTTCTGCAGAAGCGACGCTGGAGGCGCCAGGAGGTCCTTCCGCTGCCATCACTCCCCAGGTCTCCCCCGGGCGACCCAGCGCATCGAACCTGCAAATGGAACCTCGCTTTAGAACCTCGCCGGCAAGAGAGTTCAGTATTCGCTCCGTATCCTGCCACAAACACGCATGATAAGAAATAAATAATAATGATCAAAATCCCGTTCCCTTCCCCTCCTCCTCCCTCTTCCCGTCATCATCGTTCTGCCTCGTTCCCTCCCTCCCTCCCCCTCCCTCGCACTCCTCCCTCCTCCCCCCACTCTTGCACCCCTCCCCACCCCCCTCTGCCTGCACCGGATCGCGCCGCCCATTAACATCCCATCCATTAGCCGGGCGAGCGAAGCGAAGCCACTTCAGCCGCGTCACCTGGAATTGCCCCCCCTGGCATCACCTGGGACTGTTCCCGTGTGGCATCTCCTGGAATTACCCCGTGAGCGTCACCTGGAATGGCTCCCCTGGCATCACCTGGACTGTTTCCGTGTGGGCATCTCCTGGAATTACCCCGTGAGCGTCACCGTGGAATTGCCTCCCCTGGGATCACCTGGGACTGTTCCGTGTGGCATCTCCTGGAATTACGCCGTGAGCGTCACCGGAATTGCCTCCCCTGGCATCACCTGACTGTTCCTTGTGGCATCTCCTGGAATTACCCGGTGAGCGTCACCTGGAATTGCCTCCCTGGCATCACCTGGAGCTGTTCGTGTGGCATCTCCTGGAATTACCGACGTTCACCTGGAATTGCCTCCCCTGGCACGCCTGGGAGCTGGAGATTGTTCGGTGAGCGTCACCTGGAATTGCCTCCCCTGGCATCACCTGGACTGTTCCGTGTGGCATCTCCTGGAATTACCCCGTGAGCGTCACCGTGGAAATTGCCTCCCCATCACCTGGGACTTGGTTCCGTGTGGGCATCTCCTGGATTACCCGTGACGTCACCTGGAATTGCCTCCCCTGGGCTGGGACTCCGTGTTGTCTCCTGGAATGGACGTGAGCGTCACCATACTGCCGCTGGGACTGTTCCGTGTCATCTCCTGGAATTACCCGTGAGCGTCACCTGGAATTGCCTCCCCTGGCATCACCTGGGACTGTTCCGTGTGGCATCTCCTGGAATTACCCCGTGAGCGTCACCTGGAATTGCTTCCCCTGGCATCACCTGGGACTGTTCCGTGTGGCATCTCCTGGATTACCCGTAGCGTCACCTGGAAATGCCTCCCCTGGCATCACCTGGGACTGTTCCTGTGGGCATCTCCTGAATTACCCCGTGAGCGTCACTGGATTGCCTCCCCTGGCATCACCTGGGACTGTTCCGGTGTGGCATCTCCTGGAATTACCACGTGAGCGTCACCTGTACTGACATAGAGTGAATCACTTGGAACTGCCCGAGTGGCATTGCCTGGGACATCCTCTGGCTTTGCAATGTATGACACCCCTCGGCACTGCCCAGTGTGCCACCACCTGGCATTGCAGTGTATGGCATTCCCAGGGGCGGTATTCACCATGGGGCAAAGATTCCAGAATGTTTTTGTCTGTCACAAAAAAAAAGTCTGCGGCTGCAATTTTGTCTATGACTCCTTAAAGATTTTTCTACGACTACCTGAGTTCAAGACAGGTCTAGAGCCGTCCCACACGCGTCTTTCTTTCTTTCAGACAACAATGCGATTCACATTTGTTGAAATTAATTTGCATCAGCAGTGGTAGGCGAAACTTGCATGATCCTTTTTTATTTATTGCAGATTTATTTTCGATAAAGGCAAACACACGCAGTGTTCCGTATAAATATAAGATATATTGATTTAACATCGTAGTCACTGTGTAGTTGAGATTCACTGCAATAGATATTTCATCATACTGCTGCATTGCAATTAATCATCAAGGGGCTTCTAAATGTAAGAAAGAAAAAATGTTCTAGTGTTAACTTTAATACGTGTGGTAAGACCGTTCTTAAATTCTCCAAAGAAAACTCTACGATTTTATGTGAATACCGTCCTAACTCTGTCTCGGCCGCACCTAAGTCCCTTAATTGGATACTATAAGTACAACCGATCATTAGGCAACGGCGATTTCCCTCTCCGACAGAGGGAAACTTGCCAAGTATACTTTCACTGAAGAATTTACAGGCTTTGAATTCGGCTCTCGATTGCAAAGTCAACAAATAATCCTAATACCTGATCAAAAGAATGTAGAAAAGCATAGAACATAATTTGGCGCCATTCGTGAAATACTCAATATTCTAATTCTCATTTTCTTCCTACAGAGACTGGCGAACCAGGCAGCTCTCCTGACGAGGCCAATCCTGCCTCCTCCAAGCAACCCTAAACCGTGCTTTCCAAGGCAGCCTCATCATCCGGCGCCTTCCTCATTACGCCTTATCTCTGCTATCGCGTTGATGCGCTGCCTTCTTGCTCCGTCTTCAAATCTCGCTCTGCCTTTGGATGTCTCCATCCCGGCTCTGCTTCCGTTCGTCCCGCTCCGGCCTCAGCGCTTTCGTTCCACCGACGCATCACGCGGTTTTGCTGGTGTTGTTGTTGCTGTTGTTTTTTCACTGATATCACATCGTGTATCTTTCAAAGTTATTTACGCATTTCCTGAATACCGGGCTAACGGGTGACTGGAAGAAAATGGAATAAATGAAAAAGATAGAATAGATAAATAAATGTAATGAAATTTAATAAAACATGTATATTGGTAAAGTATTACATTTTCAAGAGAACTGCGTCAAAGTTTAGTTTTTTCTTCGTTGGGTTTGGTACGGAAAGA